ACTGCCCAAGCAGGATTTCCTAAGCAATCATCTAAAATCCACCAGAGTGACTACCAGGCTGACTTACGTAGTAATAATTACTGACTACCTGTTGGCAGACTGTTAAAATTACGCGGTTACCAACACAAGCGAACATGAGAGTCCCAGGAAGGGCAGGCCACCACCAACACCGGAGAGCTAGACGGCCGAGCAATCATCACGCCAGGGCACACCGTCTGTGATGAAAGTTCAACAGGTCAGAGGCCGCGCGCCGTGCAACAAACTATCCACGCGCAAGAAGACAATTAACGTTAATTGGCGATGTATGTGTGTAGTAATTACTATATCCTATAAATGCTGCAAACTTCTGTGTAAGCATTACCTGTTTCTGCCACTGTTTCCTACTCATGTCTCTGATGATGAATCCGCGACAGATGTCAAAACGTCAGGCGAATAAACGTTTTGTTCCAGCGATCGAATCTTCTTCTTTTTCTTCTCAATTACGCGGTTATTTCGCAGTGGCTTAGGGACTTCGGTCTAAATATGTACATTAAATCTCCGTCTACGCCTGCAAAACTTTAAACATACTAATCTACTCCACGTTAGAAAATAGCTTCTGAGGGAATTAAAATGCTACACAGGGAATGCTGGGAGACCCACTGGTGAGCCGGACTCCTCACAGCCGTCTCACGCAGCAGCAGAATGTCAGCAAAACAGGCGTCAGTATGGTTAATAGTTACGTAAGTTATAAACCAATTTGAGAAAAAAGTCCGCGTTTGGTAATTTCGGAGTTATTACTTTTGATGTACGCACTGGTCTTTCTCAGGTGTTCATAAATAATTAAGTCTGAGAGAGAGAGAGAGTTAGCATCTGCCGCAGGTTTGGAAAAAATATCCCAGTTCTTTACGACCCACTGGGATAACCGAGCAAAACATAACAGCCTCAAGGAAGCATTTTTCATTGCCAAGTAGCGAGAAAATCAGAAACTTCATGAAGAGCCTGTAACTCGAGAGTATTCGGGCATTGTTGGCAAACAAAAGGCTATTTTTTCACGTCGGAGAGGCAAAAATCGTAGCTTTGGGGTGGGGTGGATGAGCACATGGGCACAAAAGGACTGGAAGCAAGAATTGAACAATGGAGGCAGGAGCAGGGGGAGGGTCATCACAGAGGTGGAGAAAACTGAAAGTAGCAGCAGCAGCAGCAGCAGCAGCAATAACGAGAAAACGTAGAGATGAATGGGAGAGGGAAGGCAGAAGGGTGGAATGTTGGAGGCAAGAGAAGCGAAAACCCGGTTGAAGCAACTGCTGGTATGCGCGATTAGCGAGCGTCTGACGAATGGGCTCGTGCCAGTGAGTGTACAATGTAGAAGGGTGGGGGACGGTAAGGTTAGAGACCGAATTAATCCAAGTGAACGCTGTTGATCCGACCTGACTCCAGGACATCCTCATCGTCCACAGTAAAAGATAATTGGAACTTGAGAGGCGTTTCAGTCTAAAATGGTTTGAAAAGCCGAGTATATAATGAGGCCAGAGCAAGTTGGGAGTCTCCATATAACGAGGAATGGGGTGATAGGAGGAATTCATA